CTATACAAAATTGTTTTTTTTTTCATTTTTTTCTAATTCCATTTTGGCAATTATGTAATTTTGCCCCTGCATCATACTTTTATGTTCTATAACGCATACAACATTAAGGTTTTTTATTCATAAATTTATAATACATTTGTATTTCAGATCTGATGAAGTTTATTGTATGAAAAAAGAAAAATATAAAAATTCATATAACATAAACATATGATAAATATAGTAGGATTACGCCCTTTTACAAAAGTACAATATATGACAATTACGCCCTTTTACAAAAGTACAATGCTATTTTTGATTTATTTTCACTTTTTAAAAAAAAAATCTTTTTTTTTGGTTTATTTCATAAACGAATTTTTCTCAATTTTTTATAAAATTTTCTTTTCATATATTTATCATACATTTTTTATATTTTTTTCATTTTTTTACTGACTTTTTTAAAATGCCAATTTGGTCATTTGTTCCTTCATCATACTTTTATTTTCATACATTTTTTTAATTTTCTTATATTTTTTTTAATTAAGTTTTTTTTACATCTGCTATAAAATTATTATAATACAAAGGGTAATTTTGACCATTTTGCACATGCAATTTACTTTACTTATTCAATTTACAAAACTTTCATTCCTTTTCTTTCATTTATTTAAAAATCTGGAACACCCAAAAATTCAAGCCAATTTAAAACTTTTAAAACATTCCCAAAACCATTAAACATTACAAAACTTGTTTTCAAAATGTATAATATCAGAGTATCCCATAAACAAAGTCATAAAAAGTGAGGAGCGGTACGATCACGCATTTGCCTTGCCACGATCCCCTGATGTACCTACAACAATAAACTGAAACTGTAATCCCGAAAGCTTAGTGAGTTCCCCCAAAATACCCATACCCACAACAATACACATATAATCATAAACAACATACTATGGGTCCAATCAACCATCGGGTTGGAATTTTTCTTTTTTTTTTTGGTTTATTTCATAAACGAATTTTTCTCAATTTTGTATAAAATTTTCTTTTCATATATTTATCATACATTTTTTATATTTTTTTCATTTTTTACTGACTTTTTTAAAATGTCAATTTGGTCATTTGTTCCTTCATCATACTTTTATTTTCATACATTTTTTTTAATTTTCTTATATTTTTTTTAATTAAGTTTTTTTTACATCTGCTATAAAATTATTATAATACAAAGGGTAATTTTGACCATTTTGCACATGCAATTTACTTTACTTATTCAATTTACAAAACTTTCATTCCTTTTCTTTCATTTATTTAAAAATCTGGAACACCCAAAAATTCAAGCCAATTTAAAACTTTTAAAACATTCCCAAAACCATTAACCATTACAAAACTTGTTTTCAAAATGTATAATATCAGAGTATCCCAGAAACAAAGTCATAAAAAGTGAGGAGCGGTACGATCACGCCTTTGCCTTGCCACGATCCCCTGATGTACCTGCAACAATAAACTGAAACTGTAATCCCGAAAGCTTAGTGAGTTCCCCCAAAATACCCATACCCACAACAATACACATATAATCATAAACAGCATACTATGGGTCCAATCAACCATCGGGTTGGAATACCCCAGGCCCACAACCAACAGGTTGGATTGCCAAATACACTATGGGTCCAATCAACCATCAGGTTGGGATACCCCAGGCCCACAACCAACAGGCTGGAATGCCCACATACTCTGAGTCCAATCATCCCCGGGATGGAATACTCACGGCCCACAACCTACAGGTTGGAATGCCCAGGTCTATTGGCCTTCGCACCAAGCAGATAAGCCTCAACCGCTAAACAAACATGTGTACATATAATAGATAATCACATAACAGTCTATAGACAATACTTGATCTAACGGATCTCACCACATAGCACATAACACCATCCTATCTACCAGGATGCCAATCTAACAGGTCATACCACATATCATATAATATTATCCTACCCTCTAGGATACCGATCTAACAGATGATACTAGCATAACATAACCATATAATAATCCAAAGGGCCGGCCTTGGTGCCTTAGACCCTTGAGTATAGTGAGGAAAACTCACCTCGCAACTGTCGTCTGAAACTAGAAAGCTCAACTCCCGGATCACCAACACGAACTCCACCACCTATAGTTACCATAAAATCCTTTCTCATAAATCTCCAAATTACCAGAATACCCTCAGAAGTCAACTGGTCAACCCTTGGTCTAAGTCAAGGTCCACAGTCAAAGTCAACAGTCCATGTTGACTCGACTCGTCGAGTGCAGTTCACCGACTCGTCGAGTCCTTCCTGAACTCGAGAAGTCGTGAAATCCTTGATTGGCTCGTCGAGTTCCCTTTTAACTCGCCGAGTTCATACGTGTCCAAGAATTGGGAGAAACCCTAGCCGAGTCGCCGAGTTCAAGGCAATCTTCAACGGACTAGCCGAGTTGTTCATCCAACTCGTCGAGTTCATGGCCATCTTCAACGGACTCGCTGAGTTGTTCATCCAACTCGCCGAGTCCTTGCAGACCTTTATCCATGCAGACGCTTTTTAAGCCATGGCAAGGTTCCAGATTACAGATCCACGCTTCAAAGGCATGTTTATCACGTAAAGTTGCAAACTTTACGCACATGCAAGGCTCTAAAGGCCCTAAATGACCAATCTAAGCTTCTAATGGAGCTTTACACCTTGGGAGAATCTCATCCTTGCACAAGCTGGAAACTTTATGGACTCAGAAGCCCAAGGGAGCTTAGTTCTGAAGTTACAACTTCAGATCTTAGCTTGCACACAAGAATAGCTTCCAATCATACCATGAAAACCCTAGAATTTGTCCAAAAAGGGGATCTAGAATGAAATGAGGTCAGGGTAACGATTTATACCTTCCAGAAGATGCCTAATAAGGTAGATTTCAGATCCCACAAGCTCCTTGCTTCTGAATACTTGCTCTCCAAGCTCCCTTCTCCACAAAATCCTCTTCCAAGCTCAAAATACACAAATGGAACACACACACTCGATTAGGGTTTGAGAGGGACAAGAAGCAGTAAAGGGGAGGCTGGGGGAGGCCAATGATCCTTTAAATAGGGTGCAAAACCCCAAGATTTAGGGTTTCATCTGCCAGCTCCTACTCGTCGAGTCCCTTCTTGGACTCGGCGAGTAGGTCATTAAAATACGTGGAACAACCCGCTGCTACTCGACGAGTAGGGCAATCAACTCGTCGAGTAGCCATTGAAATCAAGAAACTCACACATTAAATCAATACCTGAGAATCGGGGCGTTACAAAATCACCCGGATCAGGGTCAAAATGGACCAAATTGTCCTTTATGTCATAATGGACAAAATTGACGTTTATGTGAAAATGCAAAAAAGACAATGTACTTTTAAACCAGGAGGAAATCATCAAATTTGTTTGATATATTAAGTGTTTGAGTAATTGTATTTTAACCAAATGTAATACACCCTTTTTATCGTTGGACTTAGTTTTGAATGAAAACAATTCCTATGCATCAGGGTCAAAATGGACCAAATTGCCCTTTATGTTAAAATGGACCAAATTGTCCTTTATGTCAAAATGCCAAAAAATAAATGTTATTCAAAGTTGTTTAATTTTGATTTCTTTCTAACTTCAAAGTTGTGTAATTTGCATCTAATCATATTTTTATGTTATAAAACTACTACAACATAAAGTTGTATTATTTTCAGTCTTTTAAAATTCCAACAACAATTTTGTCCATTTCCCCCCTGCATTATAACTTTATTTATGTTGATCCATTTTTTATATAATCATATTTTTTTTTCATTTATGTATAAATCCCTTAAAATTACAAATTTGTCCATTTTCCCCCCGCATTATACCTTTATTTATGTTGATCCATTTTACTTTTCTAAAAGGGCGTCATTGTCAATTTGATATAAATTTAATAGAAAACATGACATAAAGGGCAATTTGATACATTTTGACTCTGCATCATACTCTTATGTTGTAAAACTCTTATAACATTAATTTTGCCCATGCATCATACTTTTATGTTCTATAATGCATACAACATTAAGGTTTTTTATTCATAAATTTATAATACATTTGTTATTCAGATATGATGAAGTTTATTGTATGAAAAAACAAAAATATAAAAATTCATATAACATAAACATATGACCAAACAGCCTTATTCTAACGAACAGAACATATGGATTTCAACAAAATCCTGTAAAAGATAAGAGGATAACATTAAATGTTCATATAAACAAAATTAAACAGAGAACCTTCATTTATTAGATAGGATGCATAATCTTTTACAACGATCTATAAATTTATTACAATAAAAAAAATTGAATCATAAACAATTTCAAAAAAATTAATCATTTATGATAAGGACAATTCCTTTGATCATGAAAACCATAACTTTTGCAAAACTTACATAACCTCTTTTCCTTTGAATTTGCACATCTAATACCTTTTTCATATTGACAATTCCTTGAATCATGATAAGACCATATGGACAATTCCTTGAATCATGATAAGACAATCTGGAACAGATCTTACAAAACCTTTTTGTTTTCTTCTTCATATTATGTTCATATAAACTTTCCATTATTATTTGATATAATATTATGTACATTTTTTGCTTAATATATATAATAATTCTGATCCGATTTTTTTGATGACTTTTCAATTCAACAACTAAAAATATATATTCATATAGTTTCCTGATGATTTTTTCTGTTCAAAAATATATGTTAGATTTTTGGAGTTCATCAACTAACTATTCACGAATTAGTCTCATCTCGTTATATATATATATATAAACAATTTATAAAATAATAATCATATTGTACCTATAATATATATTATAATTTATAAATTTAATAGTAATATAAATATAAATTCCATTCTTTTCCCCTGTTAAACCTCCCAATTTTAAAAGAAAAACATTCATCTAGGATTAATTTGAACCAAACAATTACTAAGCAAAATGTAATCCATCCACAAATTACAAAATGACTTCACTAATTAAAACATCGACTTCAATTCATGTCTTACAATTCATGACTAAAACAACTTACAAATTTAAAGCAAAACTAAATAAAACTAAACAACAAAACATATCAATGCTCTTGAAAACATAATACTGTTTCATGGACCAAAAGCTACCAGACGAGCTCCTATTTTAACAATACCATCTAGATATAATTTACGCCTATCATCATGAGACATCCTTTGATATTGACCAATTAGATTTTCAACTTCAGGCTTCATTATGTTCACCTCACTCAACAATATTTTCAAACAATACCTCCTCCGCAGCTTCCTTATTTTATGTAATTGATCAGCACCTTCCTTTTTAAATCCACATTCCCATTGTGCTAACGGACCCCCTTTATAAGTTTCCATGTGCCTCATCAAAAATATGCCACAATCATTCGAGTTACCCCTTGTTTTCCATGTCATGTACTGATCGAAAAAATCAATTTCATATTGAACCGAAAAGACCATATTATGATTAATTTCAAGTAGATACCTCCCAAACATATATTTCTGCAACAATAAAAAAATTATATCAAAAATAAAATATTACTAAAATTATATCAAATTCAAAATAACATACTAAATTATAAATAAGATCTGGATATGCTTCATCAGAACTATTGTACAACAGGTTGTCCAAAATCACAGCTTTGCTGTTCTTAAAATCATAAACAAACACAAAATAGTGGTTGTTTGAACATGCAGGAAAAAACACCTATATATAAAAAACATAATTTCATTAAGATAATTCATGCTTTTATATAAAATAAACATATCGTATTAAAACCTTACCATATCAAATCCTTTTAAACTTCTTCTATCTTCAGATACACCTAAACACTGAAGCACATTCTCTTTGAAAATTTTATACTCTTCTTCACTTTTAGTTCCTTTGATGTGCATATATCCAGGATTCTACTTATACAAAAAAAAAATATATCAAAGTCATATTGAAACAAGTAATAAATTAAAAAAAATACATATTACCAAAATACACGTCTTGAAGAAGAAACATGACGGAGTATCTTTATTTCTAGCTCTCTCATCATAGTTTAAAACGTCAACAAAACAATCAATTGTTCCATAAAATAGATGTTCATGTGGATATAAGCTCTCAAACATATGACGTTCTCCACGTTGACCAAATATGCTAAGAAATAAGTTATCCCTACAAAATTAAAATAATAATATTAATATATGTTAAATTAATAATTACCTATATTCACAAAAAAAACACATTACATTGGATCTTCAACTAAACTGAATACCCAGTTAGATATTATGTTCTCTTCCTTTGTCAAAGTAGTATCAATAGGAACCGCACGAATCACATAAGGAGACCTCCTTACTGGAGGTAACATTTGATCTCTTTTTGGCCTTGATTTAGATGGCAATTGATTTTGATCTCTTTTACTCAAAAAACTTGGAACATGCAAATTTTTACCCATTACATTAACTGGAGAATCAAAAATCCCTTTAGATATTGATTTCTCTTGCATTTTATGACCTGAACTTAAACAAGGCTTTTTTGGGGTATATAACTCAGACTCTATTCCTAAAACAAAGGATGTTATATCTTCATTCAAAAACCTTTTTCCAATTTCCTTACCTACAATACAAAAAATAAAAATAGATTTAGTATTTGATGTTCTTTTGCATTATCATGAAATGTATAATTCATAAATACTCAAAACTATTACCCTGATGTTTGAAGGAGTCATCCTCAAAATTAATTTTCCTTCTTAATGAGTCAGAACTTGAAACATTTTCAACATCACTCTGATTGAATTTAGTAAAAACTGAAACAATCTCTTGTAATTTCAATCTATACAATTGAAATTTTTTATGACTTCCATGCTTTTGCAATGTCATTTCCACTTTCTTATTCAAATCATAAACAACCCACTGAATATTTGACACAAAATCCTGAAAATATATTAAAAAATAAATAAATAAATAAAAACATTAATGAGAAATTTAAGAAAATATACAAATAAAAAATCAATCTTACTAATATCGATCTACTTTCAAAATCTTCATTATAATTTGCAACAACTCCATTACCGAAACCACCACTTTCCAATTCCTTGATTTCTCTAAACTTAAGTTGATCTGATGTCCAGAAATTAATTACAGGAAATCTTCTGACAAATGGCATTTGATTACATTGAATCCTGTCAACATATAGCAACTACAAAAAACAACTTTAGTTGTAAACTGAAATGTTATTAATATTATTTATTCTATATACAAATCAAAAAATTTAAAAGAATATACCGTTAGAAATTCACATGGTCCATTAAAAATTGTTTTAATTTCATTTCTGCTCCATACCAATTTCTCTTCCTTCAAACAATTCAAAACATATGCACACCAATCTATTTTATCCAACTTAGATGACTGAGACAAGTAAGGAAGAACTTTGAAATTACAAGCTCCTTGTTTGTTACATGATCCTAAACATGTACACACCAGAATTATGAAATTCACAATGAAAACCATATCTGCTTCACTTCACTCTATTATCTTCATCACCAAATCAGAAGGAGCTACTAATGACAATGACTTCTTAAATTGGTCTTTCCAAATTTCAAACCAATCCTCATTGCCTCGAACACCTAAACAACTTATTTGCTCATAACCCAAAGGCAAACCTAGAACCCTATTCGCATCTTCTCTTGTTACCGGAATATTTCCACATTCACTCTTAATAACCATCTCCTCATGATCAAAAGAATCCACAACAAAATAACATAATTTTGTTGGAATACTTTGAGTCTTCATATCAAGCAATGATCCAAAACCAATTCTTCTTACACAATCTTTTTGAATATCATTCATAGATTTGACAGCCCCATAAATAGAATTAACAGAAACACGAGCAAACAAAGCTTTCACATTACCAGCTTTACCATCTTTTTTTTTTCTTTTTTATCAGATTTTACTACAAACTTCTTAAAACTTCTTATACTCGCATCTTCATAATCTGAATCACTAGAAAAAGAATTAGAACCTACAAAACATATCCAAAAATTACATTAATAATTAGATTAAAACTGCAGGCAAATTTTCAATCTGTTTGTATTTGATTTGAAATACGTTAAGTTCTTTAACTTTAATTCATATTCCGTGAATAAAAATCAAACATTAATAGGGTGTTTTAATGCAAAAAAACAACATACTTATATTAATTGAATGTGGAATTAGAGAACATATAAATCAATACATACTTTGAAACTGGAATAAAAGAGTGTAAAAAAATAATACATTACAAAAATAATACCATATAGTCTTTTTTTTATTATGCAAAGAATTACTGGAATGAATGTGAATTGAATTCTTCACATCTGATAGACAAAAAATCAAAAAATAAATAAATAAATAAATTATTTACAGGAAAAACAACAATGCAAAAAACACACATACCTTCATTGATTTTTTTGCCTTTGCAAGGTTCATCATCAATTCTATCTTTCTTAAGCTTCAAAGAATTAGTAGAATGAATCTCAATTGCATTATTCACTTCTGATACAAAAAAAAAAACGATTGTATTATCTACTGAAAAAACAACAACTCACAAAACAACTACCTTCATTGATTTTATTCCCGTTGCTAAGTACATCAACACTTGAAATAACATCATCTGCCAATTCTTGGGGATCTTTCTTAATCTTCAATGATTTACTGGAATGTATCTCAATTGGATTCTTCAAATCTGGAACAAAATAACAGGAACTACATGAATCGATAAAACTAAAAATGCAAGTTCTCAATGATTGTATTATGATGAATATGGATAAACATATGAACCTCCATCGAATTTTTCTTTCTGTATGAAAACTTCAACTGCACAATCTTCATCATCTTCAATTTCAATCGGATTATCAGCACAGTTCAAATTCCGATTCATGTTTCGTTCTACTTCCTTTCGCAATATGTTCTTTTTTTTCCTTTGCGAATTAAACTTTTTTCTATTTGAACGAGCATCCAATATGGCTTTAAATGCAAACATCGAATAAAAAAAAAACTCAATCGATCAATTCTCAGTTGTGTCAACCGAAGGTCTATACATGAGAAAACTGCAATCGATCAATTCTCAGTTGTGTCCACTACGTATGGTAAGAAGTTACCAACTTAATTCAAATTTCAAATTGGATTATCCACGTTAACTGATGCATACATTCAAAAAATATATAATTACAATTATACCCTTTAAATATTAGAAAATAATATTAATAACAATATACATGTGTCAAATTCTGAATGGTTCTCGCATTTTCGCATAATATATATATTTTCGCATGAACCTATATATATATATATATATATATATATATATATATATATATATAGAGAGAGAGAGAGAGATGGAAAGTATAAGATATGTATGAGTTTTAATTAATTATCTTTTTGAAACGGTACAATTACAAAACAAAAAAAATATATTTAAAATATTTTCGACATCACCCTATATGACATATGATCAATATATTAACGATTAAACCACAATATACAACGACTGTATTAAAATAATCCAAAAACGAAGAAAATATAAAAACGAATTACTATAACAAACTTACAAATTAAAAACTCTAATATAATAGCATATATCTCCAAAAGTGGTCATAAGACCTCAACCAAACATAAAAACCTTTAAGTTTGTTTTCTTTCTGAAATTTGTATATGATTTGTATGCATGTCTTCCCAAAAGATTGGTCTTTTTATAGTAAACTTTTCACTAAATGGTAATTAAACATAATATAAGTTATAAAACTTTTGAGTGTTAAATCATAATTAAGAAAACTTTTGAGTTGCATTAGTTAAAAAATGGGGTTTCAAATGAATGTGGTTTGAGGAAGTTAAAAAAGGGGGTTTCAAATGCATGAGATTTAAAAAAAATGCTAGCTTTATAAGTATATATATATATATATATATATATATATATATATATATATATATATATATATATATATATATTTCATACTCAAATGACTACTCTTATACTACTCTGTTATCTTGATTTTATGTATTTACATTATTTTATCTCAGATTGTCCTGAGAAAAAACTAGTTTCTTCAAGTCTAACATCACATTATCTTTTCATTTTTTTTGGGGCATCCTCTCCTCCTTACACAATTTATAATCGACAGTCAATCCTCTCCTCTTCGAGAACATTGTCCCCTCCACCTTGGGGTCAACAACACCGAAGGGTTTGGAGAACAAGGGCGGAGCTTTACTAGGGCAAGGGGGTTGTGGCCCCTCCTTATTTTTTTTGTTAGAAATAGTCCATTTATTTTAATTTTATATATATTAAGCCCAAAAATATAAAATTTTGGTTCCGTCCATCCTGATACATATCCCTAGCACATATATCTAAGCTCTTCTTGTAAATCTAACTCAGCCTTTGAAAATTTAATAGAGTAATTAGATTATTTAAAGGATATTGACTTTATTAGGACAAAACTATGTTACCGAGTTGTCATTAGTTGTCAGTTTGGACTAATTAAGTAATATATTAAAGACTTAGTCAACATAGACCTAGACATCTTGGATTGATTTAACAACTTGAGTTGCATATTTGAAGTTCCTAAAGATAATGTTTATTGAAGATCAAATATGAAGATAATCATCAGACTTGTCATAATAAATATATCCACAGAAGTATTTTACAAGATTAATATTTATGTAATTTCAGTCTAGTTTTCATATGTACTTGTGTGTGAGCTTCACACTACAGTTGATTGTTCCTTTTGTTTTGTTATTGTTTTAGCGGACTTAATACTCATTCCTATTACTTACATTACGAACTGATTGCATTAACTTTAATATTGTTTTAATGATTTTGGCTAATATTTATTTTTATTTTGTACAAGATTTGAATCATTGAATGTAAAGAACATGTAGGTAGATGGTTTGAGTGTGCTTTACCATGGGGGAGTTGGCGGTTTGATCCCCTTCTTTTCCATTTTGTTTTTCTTTGTTTATATAAGGGAAAAAAAGAAGAAATAATTGTTTACAACTTTTTTACATTTTTGTCACATCTTTTTTATACGAAATTGTGGTTACAAAATTAGTTTTCTTTAATATAAATGTTTTCTACAATTTTTACATCTTCATTTTTGTGCAAGTTTTTCTACGATTTTTCTCTTTTTTACTTCTTGGTATTTCTTAAGATTTTTTCATTTTTATAGATTAGTTTCTTTAAGTATTCATTTTCATGCATATAAGGTTGTAAAAGATGTAAAAAAAACATGGTTTTACCTATTCGTCTTCACAAAGCAAACCAAAAGTGTTTTAACTATGTATAATTAAACTTATTTCTTGTGTAAACTATATCTTACATAAATACTCTGCAACAAGCGTCTGTTTGTTAACTCTAACAATAGTTATAATTTATGGAGGGTTTAATCACAAAATCTGACTTGATTGGGTTGTACCTTGAGGAGTTGAGGTCTGTTGTTCAATTCCAAGTTGGCCCCTTGTTCTGTTTATAATATAATTATGTAGAAACGAGTAAAAACATTTTAGGTACACAAACTTATGAGGAGTAGGTGTTGTTGAAAGGGGGAGTGAAGAGATGCTTCCATTCTCTATCTTCTCCACCTCTGAATCAATCCAGGGTATTTCATAATCTCCAAGCTGTATGTAGTAGTAGTAGTATTCACCAAATACTTAAAATTTAAGTTATAAAAAATTGATAGTTGAAAGTATCCATGTGAATATGAAGAGGCAGATTTAAGTAATTATTGAAAATAAACCACCATTTTTTATTTTTTGTATCGAAAGAACCATTCATATACAGAAATGCTCGCTCACCTTCTTAAACAGAACATTGCTCATCAGTTTCTCAGAGAGTTTTCACAAGAACAAATGTGGTTTTTTAAGATTTTGATTAAATATGAAAAGGTCGAAAATGAGATTGTTATGTACCTTATAAGCACATCAATTTGTGGAGCATATACATGGGGACAAACATGTTTCAAACAGTGTTGCTTCAAATGCTCCGTTGCCTCAGCTGATCCATGTACCAAAACCTAATATAAAGAAGTTATAAACAAACAACAACCATTTTACTTTCTTTCTCATATATTAATATATAATTTATTTTATTTTATTTTGAAAAACAAAGTAAAATCCATACAAGTTTCAAGAATTGATTTCATGGAGCGACCATCAGAACGTCCTTCAAAATCCATGTAAACCAAACAATATTTCACTTGGACCTGAAACACACAGTCACAAACAATTCCAATCAATATAAACAACAATACTAAATAAAATCATCCTACTTTTTCATTAATACTATATATATAGTGAATGAAATCAATTTAAACTTACAGTAACTTCAGAAGATACAACTTTTGATGGGGTTGTGTCAAGCATCAAACTAGCCAGCAGTGCCTTCATCCAGTTTTTCCATCAACATCTCCACCCACCTAAAACACAACACACTCTCACTCTCAAAATTCAAAATTCAAAATGAACTTACAGCCATAGATCCCATGTCCATATCTTCATCCTTGATCACATAATCATGTGGATTAATGACTTCTCCAAAATCATCCCATTCAGAGGTGTCATCATAAAAAGGGAACACTCGAAGCTGGAACAAATCCATCAATCAATACATCACGATACGCTTCCCCAACAACTGCCATTTTCCATCAATTCATCTTTTAACATAAAAAACCATTTTTTTTTTTTTTAAAAAAGTAAACAAAAATCAAGTTGAGCATGGCCATCAATGATCATTGGGTCAGATTTGGAAACATCAGTTCCAAGCACAGCTTTTGAATTTGATTCCTCTTCCTTTACAAGGCTGGCTTTCAAAGCCTCTTCCTTTTTAATCTTTTCTTGCTCTTCTTCATATGCAGCTAATGGAACTCTCTTTGAAAGGGTAACTTTAACAGCTTTAGGAGGTGGATCTGACTGAAGGATACCAAACTACATATACAAACACAACCTATCTTCATGATTTAATATTTATAGTTCCTTTTTTAAGCAATATACCATACCTGTCCCCTTTCCGTAAAAAGAACAACCGTAGCCCATTCTACAAATATATCATGTGAAAATCCCACTTCTAAACTGGCCATAGAAGCCAGGACAATGCCATCATAAATATACTTCTACAATAACAAATGCACTAAAGCTTTTAGCCTCCAAATTACAAGTTTGGCTTACCTTTGGGCCCTCTGGGTCTGGGATGTTTTCTAGTTCAGTCTTGTTGATCAGAAGAGTAACATGCCTGCAATTAAATGTATAAATTCCAGGTGATAATGATAGTAATCAAGAAATTACATATATCAGATGAAAAAGTCTTACTTCAAAAGGAAGGCATTATCACGAGTGTGCTCGAAAGACACTCAAGGAAACTCTTGACATAATCAACTGTGCTTGATGACACATACGTGAGAAAGAAGATAGGATAGGTCGAATGATGTTGTTCCCAATACTGCAACATCAGAAAAAAATCTAGAGAAAGATAACAAGATGTTGAATTTTAGAACATAGCTACAAACATGACTCAGCCATTATAAAAATTGTAGCTTTTTTGCAGACCAACCTGTTCGAGTATCAAAAGCAGCTCCAGTATTCGACCAGCAGTATCCACAGGCAACAACACATTTCCATTGCCTCTTAGAGTGTTCAATATAGCATCTATAAATAACAAATCCATAAAAAGAATTAGAAATGATATATATATATATATATATATATATATATATATATATATATATACACACACACACATGCTACTTAAACAGATATAGTGAATACTACTTAATTACCTATAAACTCTTGATCCCTTTGACGTCTAGAAGGCTACTGATTACTCAAAGCGTTATATGCATCTGTTATAAGAACAAAAGATTCTAAAACTGTTCCATTTAAATGCCTGAAAGATCACTATAGCAGGTCAGAACATTATGGATTGAAAAATACTCAATGAGATACAGATGCAGTTGATGATTGAATCAACAGCATATAATCACATCTTCTCCATCTTTAGTTATTTTCCAAACAGTACCTCCCAAGAGGTGACCAGCAACATGAGGTGCAATCACTATACCTTCCCCTTTTCCTGACATTAGTTCATTTAATATTCAAGTAAGGAACAAATTTTAATCCCTGAAAGTGGTGAGATTATCAAGGAAAATGCGCACCAGATAAATGACAATTCTGAGAGTAGGTTAATCTTGTCACGTTTTGGAAGAGGCAGAATCAATATCATCCAGTGTGAACAAATCAAACTCTGATACTTGCTGCAGAGAGAGGAACATATCTGAGATGTGTAATAACACTAACAGCCTTTGAGTATGAAAACATCACTACAAGTAACCAGATAATATGACATACTGCATTACAAATAATCCATTGATCAATGTTTCACCTTGCGGCAGAGGTAGTTAACAGCCCTAATCTGAAGACAGGTTCTGTTGCATAAACTGGAGCAGAAAGTCCGAATTGTTTCATGGTCATGGCATAGGGTAAAGCACCAAGATGTAGTGTATCTGAATGTGACAACAACACGTCGAAGCAATCCTGAAACAGAGATTAACAAAATTTAGGGGTAACACTTCTTGTTCGCGAATTCATACAGGCTGCTGCTAATTCTACTCTAAATCACATTGTTCCGACAACTTACACAAATTCTCAGCTGTATGATCCTAAATAAACCATCTTTTCATTTCGCCTTAATAATTCTCGATTAAATTAACAATTCAAATTACGAGAAAGTGATGAATTAATAGAGGTTGAAGAAGGGAGGGGTCGAAGTGATCGTTCCAACCACAATCGATAACAAAGTTGAAGCCATCGATGGAAACCAGATATGATAATGGGTTTTCATTGTACACTCCACACAGTGGCGTCACCTGCACCGACGTCCCCATCAATCTCTCTGCTTTCTTTCCGTAGCTTCCTCCCGAGGACCTGTTTTCCCTAGCCGGAACAAAGGTACGTTTGAATCGTTGTACAGAGAAGAGGGTTTTAGAAGCCGACTACGACAACTCTAGAACGCAGAGCTTTAGGTTTTAGGGGTGTTTGGGATATTTTTTTCTTTTTGCCTTCAAAACTCCTTTTTTACAAAAAGGACTTTTTGTAAAAGGTCTTCTTACAAAAGAAGTGTCAATGGTTGAAAAGTTAAAAAAAGACATGGATATCTGACTTTTCAAAATGCTTCTTTTTCCTTCTTTCTCAAAAGTTGGTTTTAAAAGATCTTTTCCCATTACCAAACATCATTTACCTCATTTTTAACTTTTTGGAAAAGATAGGGGCCAAAAGTTGGTTAAAAAGATAAAACAGACACCCTCTAAGCCATACAAAAATTTACTTTGAAGTTTTTTTTTTTTCGTAGTAATTATTATAAAGTTTGTAGTACATTTAGCGCAATGTCACATTATATTTTGTTAAGTCACAAAGCATTTGTTAAAAATACTTAGGTTGCGTTTAGTTACAGAAAAATGGGTTGTTTTTCAGAAAAACCCCAAGAAACCGGCTAATTTATTCACTTTAGCCCTTTTTGACCTGTTCAACAGGTCATGAGACCAAATTGTTAATTTTTCGAAAATAATGAGACTTTTTTGTAGATTTCGTCAAAATTTTTATGTAATATATAAAGGGTTAATGTCATAAAAACCCTCAGTTTTTCATGGTTTTGTCGGTTTTACTCAAAGTTGGATTTTATGTCCGTTTTTACCCTCATATTTTCCAAAAAATGTTTGGTTTTACCCTTTTACCGCTGATAATAGGTTTTCTAGGTTACTATTATATTAACTTCGCAAAAAAACCCTTAAATTGACAGTTTTTACGTTTTTATCCTTAAGTATATAATTTTTTTACACTTTTACCCTAAGTATTTTTTTCATAATATACGTATTCATGCAAAAAAATCGTGTTTATATACGAAAAAAATGTTTAATTAAATGTTGTATTTATAGTTTTTTAATATTATATATAAACACGTTTATGATTGAACAAGTTTTGTTATTGATATGTATCTTTTTAAATACATAAAAGTATGTATTTGTAGTTCTAAAAACATATTAATTTGTTTTTTATTACATTTTAAACGGTTTATCCAGGGAAAAAAGACCCATATATATATATATATATATATATATATATATATATATATATATATATATATATATACACACACACACATAAAGATATAACATTTAAAAAAATGTGAATACAATATTTAATTAAACTTTTTTTCGTATATAAATACGATTTTTTCTGCATCAATACGTATAATATGAAAAAAAAATACTTAGGGTAAAAGTATAAAAAAATTATAAACTCAAGGGTAAAAACGTAAAAAAACTGTAAACTTAAGGGTTTTTTTTTGCGAAGATAATATAATTGTAATCTGAAAAACCTGTTATCACCGGTAAAATGGCAAGACTGAACATTATTTGGAAAATGTGAGGTTAAAAACGGACATAAAATTCAACTTTAGGCAAAACCGAAAAAACTCTAAAAACTTGAGGATTTTTTATGACATTAACCCATGTATAAACATATTTTTTTACATATCTATATCTATTTTTACGTATTTTTGTATTTTTTTTGTTTTTATATGTATATATTTACGTATTTTTATATATTTTAAATGTATAAACGTATATTTTTACTTATTTATATGTATTTTTAACCACTTTACATATTTTTTATGTATTTTTATGTGTTATTTTTTATATATTATGTATTTATATGTATTTTTATATATTTTTACGTATTTATGTATTTTTTTAAGCTTTTATATAGATGTTTATGTATTTTAAGTGTATAAACGTATTTTTTTTACGTATTTATATCTATTTTTAAGTATTTTACATATTTTTTATGTATTAGGTATTTATGTATTTTTTTAAAGTTTTTTATATAGATGTTTTTGTGTATTTATGTATTTTAAATGTATAAATGTATTTTTTTTACGTATTTATATGTATTTTTTTTAAGTATTTTACATATTTTTTATGTGTTTTTTCTGTGTTCTTTTTATGTATTATGTATTTATATATATTTTTGTGTATTTATGTATTTTTTTTAGTTTTCTTATATAAATGTTTATGTATTTTTACGTAAAAAAATATATAAACACGTAAAAATAATACAATTAAACATTTAATATACATAAAAATACATAAACATCTATATATTTATGTATTATGTATTTTTTTAGTTTCTTATATAGATGTTTATGTATTTTTACGTAAAAAATATATAAACACGTAAAAATAATACAATTAAACATTTAATATACATAAAAATACATAAATATATATATAAGAGAACTAAAAAAATACATAAATACGCAAAAATACATATAAATAGATAATACATAAAAAACACATAAAAAGACACAAAAAATATGTAAAATACTTAAAAATAGATATAAGTACGTAAAAAATATGTAAAATACTTAAAATAGATATAAATACGTAAATAAATACGTTTATACATTTAAAATACATAAACACCTATATAAAAAGCTTTAAAAATACATAAAGACGTAAAAATACATATAAATACATAATACATAAAAAAACACATAAAAAAATAACACATAAAAAATATGTAAAATGGTTAAAAATACATATAAATAAGTAAAAAAATATGTTTATACATTTAAAATACATATAAATACGTAAATATATACATATAAAAACATAAAAAATACATAAATACGTAAAAATAGATATAGATATGTAAAAAATATGTTTGTACAGCCCAAATAGAATCATCATGTGCAAGATTGACCATATCATAATCATAACAAATAAAGAACTCTTCGGTAGCAATATTAACTTCAACATTATCATTACCACCATCATCTTTCTTGTAGTTATCAAGAGTTTAGAAGATTATAGCATGAGATCACATCATACATTCAGTTTTCTTAGATGATCACGTCTAATTTACTTTCTTATGTGTTTATGTGTTTATTTTCTACAATTATTAGCTAAATCAATAAGCTTATGTTTAGTAATGATAAACCCTAATACCATTTGTTAGTTTATACTTTTTCATGGATTTTATGAAGTTGGTTTAGCTTGTGTTTGAATTATCAATTTTAAGCATGTTATTAGTTTCAATCTAGTTGCTTAGATTTCAAGTTATGTGTAGTTGAATGATCACTTTAATTGCATGAACTTGTTTACCTAGTTGTTTATAACCAATAAATTGCTAGAGCTAGTGATTGACCAACTCCTAGAAGGGATATCTCCAGAAAAGTCCTAATATTTAAGGAAAATTTTTAATAAAGTCCTAAATTTTATTTTTTGTATAAAAAAATCCTGTCCTTTTCACCTTTTGAATAGAAAGCCCAAGAAACCGGCTAATTTATTCACTTTAGCCCTTTTTGACCTGTTCAGCAGGTCATGGGACCAAATTGTTAATTTTTCACCCATCCTAGTACTACTCTCGCCCATGCACGCTTAACTGCGGAGTTCTGATGGGATCCGGTGCATTAGTGCTGGTATGATCGCACCTGAAATACTATCCATGCTTATTGTCTGTATGCCTTACAAGAAGCAGAACCTCCTTTGTTTTTCGTACGCGAGGCGTGGGACCCACGTGATCGATCGGCTCCGTTCCAAAAATATGAAAACCATTAAGCATGAACCGGAGACCACCCACGCATAGAAATAACAAAAAAAACAAAAAAAAACCGTACGCAAAATCCAAAAAGAAAACGAAAACGGGCAGCGAAAAAGGGGGTGCAACACGAGGACTTCCTAGGGGGTCACACATCCTAGTACTACTCTCGCCGAAGCACGCTTAACTGCGGAGTTCTGATGGGATTCGGTGCATTAGTATTAGTATGATCGCACCCGAAATACTATCCATGCTTATTGTTTTTATGGTTTACAAGAAGCAGAACCTCCTTTGTTTTTCGTACGCGAGGCGTGGACCCACGTGATCGATCGGCTCCGTTCCAAAAATACGAAAACCATCAAGCATTAACGAGAGACCAACTACGCATAGAAATAACAAAAAAAAAAAAAAACCGTATGCAAAATCCAAAAAAACGCAAACGGGCAGCGAAAAAGGGGGTGCAACACGAGGACTTTCCAGGGGGTCACCCATCCTAGTACTACTCTCGCCCAAGTACGCTTAACTGTGGAGTTCTCATGGGATCCGGTGCATTAGTGCTCGTATGACCGCACCAGAATTACTATCCATGCTTATTGTTTTTATGCATTACAAGAATCAGAACCTCCTTTGTTTTTCGTACGCGAGGCGTGGGACCTACGTGATCGATCGGCTCCGTTCCAAAAATACGAAAACCATCAAGCATGAACCGGAGACCACCCACGCATAGAAATAACAAAAAAAAAACAAAAAAAAACGTACGCAAAATCCAAAAAAAAACGAAAACGGGCAGCGAAAAAGGGGGTGCAACACGAGGACTTCCTAGGGGGTCACACATCCTAGTACTACTCTCGCCGAAGCACGCTTCACTGCGGAGTTCTGATGGGATCCGGTGCATTAGTGCTGGTATGATCGCACCCGAAATACTATCCATGCTTATTGTTTTTATGGTTTACAAGAAGCAGAACCTCCTTTGTTTTTCGTACGCAAGGCGTGGGACCCACGTGATCGATCAGCTCCGTTCCAAAAATACGAAAACCATCAAGCATGAACGAGAGACCAACCACACATAGAAATAACAAAAAAAAAAACCGTACGCAAAATCCAAAAAAACGCAAACGGGCAGCGAAAAAGGGGGTGCAACACGAGGACTTTCCAGGGGGTCACCCATCCTAGTACTACTCTCGCCCAAGCACGCTTAACTGTGGAGTTCTGATGGGATCCGGTGCATTAGTGCTCGTATAACCGCACCAGAATTACTATCCATGCTTATTGTTTTTATGCCTTATAA